GTGAGAGGGTACTGGACTATTAGTGAGAAAATGGCCATGGACTTGTAAGTGAGAGTGGTACTTGGACTTGTAAGTGAGAGTGGTTCTGGACTTGTTAGTGACAGTGGCACTGGAATGGTTAGTGAGAGTGGCACTAAACTTGTTAGTGAGAGTGGTACTGGACTTGTTAGTGAGAGTGGCACTAAACTTGTTAGTGAGAGTGGTACTGAACTAGTAATTGAGAGTGGTACTGAACTAGTAATTGAGAGTGGTACTGGACTGGTTAGTGAGAGTGGTACTAGACCTGTTAGTGAGGGTGGTACTGATCTTGTTAGTGAGAGTGGTACTGGATTTGTTAGTGAGAGGGGCACTAAACTTGTTAGTGAGAGTGGTACTGAACTAGTAATTGAGAGTGGTACTGGACTTGTTAGTGACAGTGGCACTGGACTGGTTAGTAAGGGTGGTACTGGACTTGTTTGTGAGAGTGGTACTGAACTTGTTAGTGACACTGGTACTGGACTTGTTAGTGAGAGTGACACTGAACTTGTAAGTGAGAGTGGTACTGAACTTGTTAGTGAGAGTGGCACTGAACTTGTTAGTGAGAGTGGCACTTGACTTGTTAGTGAGAGTGGTACAGAACTTGTTAGTGACAGTGGCACTGGACTTGTTAGTGAGAGTGGTACTGGACTTGTTAGTGAGAGTGGAACTGGACTTGTACGTGAGAGTGGCACTGAAATTGTTAGTGAAGGTGGCACTGGACTTGTTTGTGTGAGTGGTACTGGACTTGTTAGTGAGAGTGGTACTGTACTTGTTAGTGAGAGTGGTCTGAACTAGTGAGTGGGAGTGGTACTGGACTTGTAAGTGGGAGTGGTACTGAACTTGATAGTGAGAGTGGTACAGAACTTGTTAGTGAGAGTGGCACTGAACTTGTTAGTGAGAGTGGTACATAACTTTTGAGTGGGAGTGGTACTGAACTTGTTAGTGAGAGTGGTACTGGACTTGTTAGTGAGAGTGTCACTGGACGTGCTAGTGACAGTGGTACTGGACTTGTAAGTGAGAGTGGTACTGGACTTGTTAGTGGGAGTTGTACTGAACTTGTTATTGGGAGTGGTACTGAACTTGTTAGTGAGAGTGGTACTGGACTTTTTAGTGAGAGTGGCACTGTACTTGTTAGTGAGAGTGGTACAGAACTTGTTAGTGAGATCGGCACTGTACTTGTTAGTAAGAGTGGCACTGTACTTGTTAGTGAGAGTGGCAAATGGACTTGTTATTGAGAGTGGCACTGTACTTGTTAGTGAGAGTGGTACTGGACTTGTTAGTGAGAGTGGCGTTGTACTTGTTAGTGAGAGTTACACTGGACTTGTTAGTGAGAGTGGTACAGAACTTGTTAGTGAGAATGGTACTGAATTTGTTAGTGAGAGTGGAACTGGACTCGTAAGTGACAGTGTGATTTGCAGAGGAGGTTGTAGTGAGATTTGATAAGTGAAGGTCATAATCATGTTGGTTTCCTTGAAGGCATTGCCTAAATGATCGTTTTGTCCACGTATCAATTTGGAAATAACGTAGTTACAGCCAATTTTATCAAATATATAACAATTTCAGTCAGGTCTACTTGACGGTCATGTCAAAAGTGTTGTTGTGTCAAAGTATGAAGACAACAATCCAAGCGAGTTTTCGCTCCGAGCCCCCGCGTGGCTATTTTTTTTTATTGAACTTCGACCTGCTTCCACTAATTAGCGCATTTTTGAATCGCGCTCCACCATTTTATCTTGTTAATTCTCGACTTTTTACTTGGCGGGGTCGCGGGGTGAAAAAAACGAATGGAAAAAACAGCCCCCCATACGCAAACCCAAAAAAAAATCACAGATTTTGGGTATATTTTTTTCGGTTTTGAAAACCATACATCCATTAACAAATTTAAAAGTTTTTCGTAACCCGAAAGAATAAAATTTTTTTCCGTTTTTATTTTTAGCGCATTTGGGTTTTTACGTTCCCCATTCCCAAAGGTTATGTCACATGTCCAAATAAAGAACGTCAACAGAGATTTTATTGCATAATATCCTACCTACTATGTTCATTAGGGAAAAATGGGGGTCGTGATGGAATATTTCAAATAACAAAATGTCAAATCAACCATTTTTGCACATTTAATTGTAGTTGGTTTGTATCTGCATATAATGTATTTCTTTAATTGCTAATGATCAGTCATTTATCTCCGTAAGCTGACTTAAATTATGCTGAATACAAATCAGTGTAAAACTTTGTGTTCTCAAGTAGTTTTATGTTAATGAAATATAACATTCATTAAATTGAAATGTAATGAAGCAAAACAACTAAATATATGATTAAAACAACTTTTTCCGGGATCCGAACATTTACGAAACGAACGCTATATCACTACGCCATTACGCACTAAGCAGTAGAAAAATCAGGCTAAATATGCACGGCATTTGTTACATTTAGTTCTTAAAATTAAATGATAGAGAACTGATTTCTTTCAGTCAAAATACATATTTACCGATTAAAAGATGATGTCCTATATATAGCTGAATTGCCTAATGAAGGCAAAATACAAAGAAGAAAAAAGATTGCTTTGCTTTGGGCTTTAAACTCATTCTCTGTGTTCATACTCTTTCAGACAGGAGAATTCGCATTAAGTATTTAATACTTTAAACTTAATTTTTATTAGATGTTCGCTTATTTTTAGCGGGGCCTCTGAATTTAACTTTGTTTTGTCAGCTGTTATCGCGGCAGTAGCAGCAGCAGTACCGGAAGCTGCAACAGACACAACAACAACAACAGCAACAATACGTATACGCAATTGTAATATGACGTTAACTTTACAGATTATTTTAGGTGGGGGTCAATATTTTAAAGATAAAATAGGGGGTCATTATTTTATATAAAAGGGGGTCACTATTTTATAGAAGGGGGTCACTATTTTATATAAAATAATGACCGGGGTCATTAGTCTATGGGGGTCACTTTACAACGTTACACCGCCAACTTCACAAAAATGATAATATAAAAAAACTCTCTCCAAGTGGCCAAGTATATTTTTATATATCTTTTAAATAACAAGAATTGTCTTAAGAACTTCATTAAAAACCGAAAAAATGATGAAATCAACAATGTAATCTTAAAGTGTTTCTTTCTTATTTTAATATATCTTTTAAATATCAAAAGTGTCTAAAGAAATTTATTTAATGCCGTTTTTATTGTTTTATAACATTCTACAACTGTAACTGTAAAATTTTGCTGGAAAACTAAAACTTTCTGAATAAGATTATTATTTTCCACGTATACCACCGTTTAAAGAAGGGAATACATTTAAAATTCAGCTCAGACACAAATTATGATAAATAGTATTAACGATTGTATACATAAATTAGTATGTGTTATGGACATGTGTTGACATAAACACAAACTGGTAATGGGCGTATTTTCGAAAAAAGATATTTAGTATTTGTCAGTTAGATTAGGTAAAATTCAGTAACTTACGTAAAGGGCTCAGTGCGATGTGTTATTTATATTTTTCTTGATAACCTTGCCTGTTTTCACTGACCAGATCTAGACATATATGCCCACAACATGTCGTGGGGTTCAAATCGTTTATAGGAAATTAAACTTTTATTGCATATTCAGTTTAGGTTATTTAGAAATAAACTAACATACAGGATTTCACATATAGTGATATAAGTTATCTGCCAAGGGCAGGAAATACAACTAACAGCCCATTTCGTAAATTATTCCATTACCTTTTATTGTATAAGATAAATATAGTATACAGCCCACTCAGACTATTATTAGTAAAGCAAAACAATGGAATGTTTTCGTTTTTTTTTAGTGAAATAAACAGCATTTTTCTGTAAAGTCAAATATCGTAAATTTCTGAATATCCAAACACGTAGTTTCATTTTAAGGAAAAAAGTACTGAACCTTCCATAGAAAACATTTTATGTATAGGTTACTTACTAAACCGAACGGGTTCTACCATTTATTTTATAACATCAATAAATCATTTAATGTTATGTAAGAAAATACTAACTAAGATAATGATAAACAAGCTCAACAAGGAAAGTTAGCATTCAATGAACGCAACCACACACGACCCAGCAACAAGAACTAGCGACAAAGAGCCCAGGAGGATCCAAAACAAAAACAGGACAGGAGTCCAGTACTTTCAAAATAGCTGCAGTACGTACTGCTGTACCAGTACCAGTAATGCAGCTCTGGACAGGACACAATGCAGAACACGGACATGATACTCACTTAAATGATACTTAAAAAGAAATAATAGTTACTGACAAAGAAATTAAAGAAAACAAATGATTGATTGATTGATTGATTGATTGATTGATTGATTGATTGATTGATAGGCCCACAAAGTAAAATGGCACAGGATAAGGGGACTCGAGAGTCGGGGAAGGAAGAGGCATAATTAAAAAAAAATAGGGGCAAAGTGAAGAAACTTAGGGTAGACGAGGAAACAACACGAGACACAACAAAAGTGTCATAAAAACAGTTTGAAACAAACACGACAGGAACATAGAGAGGCAACGCCTTGGAACAGTCAGCAGCAAGAGTACTGTTGGGTAGTTAAAACCTGTTAATGGTGCACAAAACCACTCTCTTAGCTCCACCAAGTTTCTTTTAAACGAGACATTGTAAATAAATTGAATCCCTGCCAAGTGAAATTCTAACAGTTGCTATGGTTACAAAAGGTGAAATAAGTAAAACATAGAAATGATCATGTAGGAACATTTCAAAGTAAACCGAATGACCATAACAAAAATACTCAATGTAAAGGAAGACAGAGCTACAATAAAATAACGTACAAGGGCCCGACGAAGCAAGGCAGAAGACGAACATTAAGACAATTCAGTCCCAAAGGACTTAAAGAACTGTCCATCATAGAGTTTCCCACTTGGTCCGTGTAATATTTTTTTGTGACACTACTTTAAAGTGACATTATCTAGGTGTATATTGTGGGTGAACGAACAGGTAAAAATAAAAAAAAGAAGTTATCTGTTTGCCAAAATTCTTTTCAATTTTATATTAACTTCGCATGAACAATAAATAAGTCACGTGGATCAACGAAAATTCTGTAAATATCCATTGGAATTGACATGAAACGTTTTTAAAACATCTATAAAAAGAGTGGGCAGATTTACGGTGGCACAAAGGTGACATGTGTGTGTTTTTATTTATCTCGTGGCCACGAGTTACTATAAGTCGTGGCCACGAAATAGCTAAATCGTGGCCACGATAAACTATGTCGTGGCCACGAGATACTATGTCGCGGCCACGAGTTACAACGTCGTGGCCACGAGATAGCTAAGTCGTTGCCATGGGATACTATGTCGTGGCCACGAGTTACTAAGTCGTGGCCACGAGTTACTTAGTCGTGGTCACGAGATAGCTAAGTCGTGGCCACGAGATAGCTAAGTCGTGGCCACGAGATAAATAACCAATCAGGTTACACCATTTATATGAATTTCCCTAATTAACTAGACATGTGCAATAATACAGGGATGCCCATACTTCACCAACCTGTAAAAGTGCCATTTATACAACTTATTGACTGGTCAATAATTTTACATTTAGCGTCACTGTGACCCTTATTTTTGACCCAATGACCTCGAAATTTTTAGATGATTTAAATGATTTGCACTGATTAGGTGCAATGATCTTTCTGGGTTATATAAACCATGGCTTATCCCTTCTTAATTATTCATCAGACAAGGATTTTACCTTATAGGCTATCTACTGGCAATGTCCCTTCCAAATAAAATAAACCAGGACTTATTCCTTCTCATGTTATCGTATAAACAAGGTTAACAGGCCGTAGTACGTACAAACTGACCAATTCGATCACAAAATTGTCCCAACAAAGAGCTAAAGTCAAAATTGATATTTGATGGGCCTTGGAAGATAACTTTCTAATATGATCCTAAAGACAACTTCAAAGTGAGTAACTTCAGTATTTTCAAAAATTAATGTTGCAAGTAAAATTTGTTAAGTTTAAAAAAATCCTAATATATATAGTGTATTCTGAATGGTTAATTATCTCGTGGCCAGGACTTAGCTATCTCGTTCCCACGACTAAGTAACTCGTGGCAACGACATAGTTTCTCGTGGACACGACTTAGCTATCTCGTGGCCACGACATAGTATCTCGTGGCCACGACTTAGCTATCTCGTGGCCACGAGTTAGTAACTCGTGGCAACGACATAGTATCTCGTGGCCACGACTCAGTAACTCGTGACCACGACATAGTATCTCGTGGCCACGACTTAGCTATCTCGTGGCCACGACTTAGTAACTCGTGGGCACGACATAGTATCTCATGGCCACGAGATAAATAGAAATACACACATGTCACCTTTGTACCACCGTACAGATTTGAGGCAGATATATGTTATTTTAAATATTTTCTTATACATGTATCAACTACCTCTTCGTATCTCAAACCTTT